CTGAGGCTGAGGGCGAGGCTGAAGGCAGACTGAGGCTGAGGCTGAAGCAGGCTGAGGCTGAGGCTGAGGCAGGCTGAGGCTGAGGCTGAGGCAGGCTGATGATGAGGCAGGCTGAGGCTGAGGCTGATGCAGGCTGAGGCTGCGGCAGGCTGAGGCTGAGGCCGAGGCTGAAGGCAGACTGAGGCTGAGGCTGAAGCAGGCTGAGGCTGAGGCTGAGGCAGGCTGAGGATGAGGCTGAGGCAGGCTGATGCTGAGGCAGGCTGAGGCTGAGGCTGAGGCTGATGCAGGCTGAGGCTGAGGCAGGCTGAGGCTGAGGCCGAGGCTGAAGGCAGACTGAGGCTGAGGCTGAAGCAGGCTGAGGCTGAGGCAGAGGCAGGCTGAGGCTGAGGCTGAGGCAGGCTGATGCTGAGGCAGGCTGAGGCTGAGGCTGAGGCTGAGGCAGGCTGAGGCTGAGGCAGGCTGAGGCTGAAGCCGAGGCTGAAGGCAGACTGAGGCTGAGGCTGAAGCAGGCTGAGGCTGAGGCTGAGGCAGGCTGAGGCTGAGGCTGAGGCAGGCTGATGCTGAGGCAGGCTGAGGCCGAGGCTGATGAGGCTTGCGGGCAGACTGAGGTGAGCGCTGAAGCAGGCTGAGGAGGCAAGGCTGAGGCGGAGGCTGAGGCAGGCTGATGAGGCTGAGGCAGGCTGATGCTGCGGCCGAGGCAGGCTGAGGCTGAGGCTGAGGCTGAGGCTGAGGCCGAGGCTGAAGGCAGACTGAGGCTGAGGCTGAAGCAGACTGAGGCTGAGGCTGAGGCTGAGGCTGAGGCAGAGGCTGAGGCTGAGGCTGAAGGCTGAGGCTGAGGCAGGTGAGGCTGAGGCCGAGGCTGGAGAGGCAGACTGAGGCTGAGGATGAGGCTGAGGCTGAGGCTGAGGCAGGCTGAGGCTGAGGCAGGCTGAGGCTGAGGCAGGCTGAGGCAGGCTGAGGCTGAGGCTGTGACTGCGACTGCCGTTGCCACTGCGACTGTCATCGCGACTGCGACTACGACTGCGAGAACAGCAGAATTCTACAACTGGATTCTCATCTGAATCTTAAGGGGAATGCTTCCAGATATGCTCCTACACATCGCTGTTAGGTTGCTTTGCCGGGATAATTGCTGTCTTTCCCACGCAGAGAGAAGGGATGCCTGGGCTCTTCCCCTTCCCTGCCTTTCCCACCCCCCACACGCATTTGAGTGCAACGCGAATGACTCTACGATTTTTCAGCTCAGCCTTGCCGGCATTCTTGGGCGATCGGTGCTCCCGGGCGCTTTTCGACGCTCGCCCTCTCGGAGAGGCTGTGCTCCTGAGGTGAGCTGGGGTTCCACCTGTTGTGCACCAGCACGGGCCCCAGGGGGCCAGCGCATGCCCAGACCTTCGGCGCCTCCCCCTTCCGTACCCGCGCCGGCCCGAGCCGCTGCCGCGGCGGTGGCCCCGCCATGCTGCTGCTGGGGAGCTGCGCTCCGTGCCCAGCGCCCGCCCCGCGGGCGCCAGGGCACGGCGCGCCGCGCTCCTGCGGCCGCGGAGCCGCCCGGGGGGCCTGCCCCCGCCGATGGAGGTGGCCCGGCGCCTGGACGCTGCTGTGCGCGGTCGCTCTGGCCGCGCCGTCCGCGGCGCCCGGCTCGGGGCGGCCGCGCCCGGCCCCCGCGGCGGCCGCCGCCGTCGCCCCGCAGCGGCCTCCCGTCGTGCGGCCGCCCAGGATCGGCGCGGCTCCGCTCCACCACCGCGGGGACCCAGAGGCCGCCCACGGCGCGGCCCACCCCACGGCGGCCACCGCCGTCGCCCCGCAGCGGCCTCCAGTGCGGCCGCCGCTGCCCAGCGGCCCAGAGGCCGCCCACGGCGCGGGCCACCGCCACGCGCCGCGCCGCCCAGGGCACGACGACCACCGCGTCGGCGGGCTGCTGCCCCCCCCGCGCGAGCCGTACCTGCGGCCTCTGCCCGGCGGCGGCGGGGAGGCGGCGCCTGTGTGCCCCTGCCGGGTGGGTGGCGCATAGGAAGGGGGACATCTTCGCCGACATGGGCGCGCGGGCTTCCCGCGCAAGGCCGTGCGTGAGCGCCCTCTTCTCGACGCGGTGTGCCACGCTGGCGGCCCGCGCGCGCCACCGCGTAGAAGGTCGCTCTGCCATCTCGCGCGCAAGGTCCGCTTCTTCTGGTCCTCAGGTGGCGGCGCGGAGCTCGTGGAGGAAAGGCCCCACCGTCTTGGAGGCCCTGCGTGCCGTGGCGCCGAGTGCTGCAGGCCCTGCCTCCCCAGTTCCGCAGGCTCTGCGTACGTACGCCGAGTGCTGCAGGCCCTACCAGCCCAGGAGGCCCCCAGAACGGCGTGAGCACGAGCTCTCGGAGCTCCGCGTGAGATTTCTCGGGTCGGCGCTGGGTCTGCCTCGCCACACCCCTTCCCTGGTTCGCCAGGGGGGGGGGCCCCACCAGGGGCATTGGGGACAGGGGACCAGCCGCGTCCCGTGAAGTCCGCGCGGACCTGCGAGCGTTTGTGCTTCCGCCGTGCGTGGGCCTCCCCCATCTGGACCCGCGGGCAGCGACCACCCTTGAGGCGCTCACGCGGGCGCGCTACTCGGCCACGGTGCTAAAAAACTACAGCTTCTTGATGGACACCACCGACGAGTCCAACCCGTCGTACACCTTGGACCGGCGAACGTGGAGCGAAGACATCCTCCGCGCAGTCCAGGACGTGGTCTTCGTGGGCTTCTCCTACGACAGGGCGCAGGCGCTCGGCGAGGAGGGCGGCGAGCCGCTGCGGGCAGTGCTCTTCGACTTCGCCGTCGAGAAGTCGAATCCGTTTGACATCCCGCTGGTCCTGATCCGACAGGAGAGGGCCGTCTACAGGCGTCGGGAGGGCCAGTGGCGCTACGCGAGGTCGGAAATCATCCGGGAAGAGGTGGTGGAAGGAACTCGCACCGTCAGGTCAGCCGTGTTAGACCTGTTGAACGCGATGTTTTGAGGAGAAACAGCGCGCGTCCACGGCATCGCTTTCCTCCTCCTGCTCCCTCTGCTGCTGCTGTCTCCCCGGCCCCAGGAACACCCATCGCACACCATCAAACCCTGAAGGGCTCCCTAGAAGGTTCCAGACGTTCCAAAACTCTTTCAGACCCTTTACGTTCAAACTCCCTAGACCTCCTCCTCCTCCTCCTGGGGTCCTCCTCCTCCTTCTCCTCCTCTCTACCTCCTCCTCCCCCTCACCCTCCTCCTCCTTCTCCTCCTCCCGTTCCTCCCTTACTTCTCCCCCTCAACCCCCTCTCCTCCCCCTCCCTCCTTGTCTTCCTCCTGCCACTCCTCCTGCTTCTCCTCCTCCTCCTCCTCCTCTTCCTTCTGTTCCTCCTTCTCATCCTCCTTTTCCTCCTCCTGCTCCTCCTCCTCCTCCTGGGGCACCCCAGTGCCGCATATATTTCTACGACCACCCTTCGGGTGATGAGGAGGATGTGTGTTTCGGGGGGGGGAGAGGGGGGGAACCAACATCTGACTCAATCGATCTCACTATCGATCTCACTAAACGGGACACCACGGGACACCACGGGACACCACGGGACACCACGGGACACTTGTCGATCTCACTATCGATCTCACTATAGATCTCACTCAACGGGACACCACGGGACACCACGGGACACCACTGGACACCGCGGGACACCTTTCGATCTCACTATCGATCTCACTATCGATCTCACTATCGATCTCACTTCTTTGGGACACCACGGGACACCACGGGATACCTCGGGGCGCCACATCGATCTCAGTTTCAATCTCACTATCGATTTCACTATCGATCTCACTCAGCGGGACACCAGGGGACACCACGGGACGCCTGTCGACTTCACTATCGATCATACTATCGTTTTTATTTTTTGGGACACCACGGGACACCTCGGGGCACCACATCGATCTCAGTATCGATCTCAGTATCGATCTCACTATCTATCTCACTATCGATCTCACTATCGATCTCACTCAACGGGACACCACGGAATACCACGGGGACACCACGGGACACCGCGGGACACCGCTAGGGCCACCGCCGGACGGACGGACGGGGGATAATCATTTGTCTTGACTTCGCCCTAGCAACGGCGGACACCACGGGACATCACGGAACACCACGGGACACCGCGGGACACCGCTAGGGCTACCGCCGGACGAACGGACGGGGGAGAATCATTTGTCTTGACTTCGTCCCAGCAGCGGCGGGTTCTTTCCTTTCGCGCGCCCATGCAGTTTCGCCTCGCCCGCACGCACGACACGAGCGAAACGAAACGATTTCCCGGTAGGGGTCTCCGTTCCACTGCGATCTCACCCCCTAACCTCTGACTTTCTCAGATCCCACGTGAACACCTAGAGCCCCTTGCAAAACGTGTAAGGCTTCCCAAACCATTTACCCTCCACTGCCCCCCTTCTCTTTTGAAGGCGAGTCTCCAAGCTCCAGGCGGAGCACGTCATGACCAGGATCTTGAGGCCGCTCCCAGAAACGCAAAGAGGTCCAAATACATTAGATACAAAGCTCCTCCTCCCCCCTCCCCAATGGTCCCCGCATGTCTTTGGATGGTTCTGGAGGCTCCTGGAGGCCTCGAACAAGGCAAAAGATGTCCAGATCTGATTCTCGGTCCTCGGTCCTCTTGGAATACCAAGTTGCTCCTCCTGCTCCTCCTGCTCCCCCATGCTCGACGCTGGCTGTCCTCCTGCCCCCCATGCGGCTGGAGCCCCCCTGCCCCCGTGGGCAGCCGCAACTTGCTGACGTGGCTGCCCTGATCTGGCACGCCGAGGTGTTGGGTGGGGCTCTTCATGGACGGTCTCGCCGTCCAGGGCTCGGCGGAAGGCCTGCGGAAGGCAGCCTTCAGTCCCCCGTCGGAAGGCCCGCGGAGGGCGGCGGATGTAGAACGGCGGCCGGTGCGCCGGCGGACGCAAAATCCAGCCATCGAAGGTGTGCTTCTGAAACGAGCCACGCGGAGAAAGAGCATGTAGCTCCCCGCTCCTCTGCTCTGGCAGGAGCTCCGGAAGCTGGCCGCTGGGAGCCAGGGGGCCCACTCCGCCTTCCAGAGCCGGACCGCAGGCGAGGGGGGGAGGCTGCTTCTCCCGCTGGCGGTGTCTCCGAGGGAGAAGGAAGAGGAGAAGAAGCAGGAGGAGGAGAAGGAGGAGGAGGGGGAGGAGAAGAATGGGCGGAAGAGGGGGAGGAGGAGGAGGAGGAGGAGGAGGAGGAGGAGGAGGAGGAGGAGAGGAGGAGGAGGAGGAGGACGAGCAGGAGGCGGAGGCAGGAGGAGGAGGAGGAGGGGGAGAAGGAGGAGAAATTAATCAAGAGGGGGAGGAGTAGGAGAAGAAGGAGGAGGAGGAGGAGCAGGAGTAGGAGAAGGAGTAGGATTCGCCGTAGTAGTAGTAGTAGTAGTAGTAGTAGTAGTAGTAGTAGTAGGAGAAGAAGAAGAATAAGTAGTAGTAGTAGTAGTAGTAGTAGTAGTAGTAGTAGTAGTAGTAGTAGTAGTAGTAATAGTCGTAGTAGTAGTAGTAGTAGTAGTAGTAGTAGTAGTAGTAGTAGTGGTGGTGGTAGTAGTAGTAGTAGTAGTAGCAGTAGTCTTTGCAGTAGTGATAGTAGTAATGGTAGTAGTCGTAGTAGTCGAAGTAGTCGTAGTCGTAGTCGTAGTCGTAGTTGTAGCCGCAGTCGTAGTCGTAGTCGCATGCGTAGTCGAAATAGTAGTCGTAGAAGTAGTAGTAGTAGTAGT